CTGGCATACTCTGATTTCATTTTCTACAAATCTTTCTGGTGGTACACCCTTGTTTGCTCTATTTGACCTGTGAGGGACCACTTGTTCAATTTCCTCAGCCCCGTGTGTCACATTCTCTGCATCTTCTTCCTGTTTAAATTTAGGCTTTACAGGAGATGTCTCTGTAGCTTTGGTTGTTTCTTTGCCAACTACCTTTGGCACAGGTGAACCTAGACAATTTGCTTGAGCCTGCACCTCAGTGTTGAAAGGTATAAATACCTCTGAATTAGTGTGAATTTCCTTCCACCCTGAGTGTATTTCAAAATTGGCACTTTAAATTACTATGTATTCTGTTACCTCCAACCCAGAACCTGTACCCTTTTGTACCTGCCTCATATCCTACAAATCTGAGGTGTTGGAATTTAGGTTGACCTTTTCTCCTCTGAATCTTGGGTATCAGAATGTGTGCAGATGAACCAAATACCCTTAAATGTTTAAGTGAAGGCCTTTTAAAAAACAGTAAATAATATGGGGTTTCATTTGTGGCTGTTGAACACAACCTGTTGTTTATGTAAGCAGCTGTGACAATTGCCTCTCCCCACATTCCAGAAGGCATCCCGGCATCATTCATCATGCAATCTTTCGTTGTTTGGAGCACACCCAATTTTCTCTCTGCAACGCCTTTTTCGGCAGAGCAATAAGGGCTGGTCTTTCTGTGAATGGTGCCCCTCCTTTTCAGCCACTGTTGAAAATCTTGACCCAGGAATTCCCCACCCCTGTCAGTCTGCAATTGACAACTTATGGTGAAAACACCTTTCAATCATTGCTAGCCATTCCTTTAGCTGTGCACATGCTTCACGCTTTGCTTTTAATAAATAAACAACAAAGCCTTGAAAAATCATCAACAATTAATAGAATGAATTTGGCTCTTCCTTCACTGGATTTGAATGGTTCTGCCAAATCTGCATGCTCGAGCTGAAATGGTCTAGTTGACATTCTGTCAGTCTTTTTAATCACAGGAAATATTTTGCTTTTGATGTGCATCCTGCGCATTCCAGAAACCTAGGCCATTTTTGTAGGTTTAAATCTGGATATACCTTTGCTAACTGGGATAGATGTCCAAAGCTAGCATGCCCCATAACCCAGTGTAACTGGTGCATAAATCTATCATGTAAAGGTTCATTGTGTACTTGTGACACACTCACAGACTGCTGCTCTTTACTTTCCATAATATATAGACCACTTTTTAACTTTCCAGTGGACACTTCATATTACCTTTGCTTATCAAAGTTGTTTCATTTTCATACATTATGTTGTGCCCACACTTGACCAGACATGGTACACTTAGTAGACAATAATCCATTCCTGGTACACATAAAGCATTAGGAATGATTAGCCCCAAACGTGGCACATAAAAATTTCCATGTACCGTTATCTCTACCTGAGATCCATCTGTCAAAATCACACTCCTTACCTTGGGGAAAAAACTGTCCATCAATAGTGACATGTCATTGACAATGGTCTGGCTCATACAAGCAGAGTCCAAAATCCAGACAAAGTCTTTCTCTGGTGGCTCTTCATCAGACACAGGTGTAGCAACCATTTGGACTGATGTAGTCACTCTTCTACCTTGGCCAGTTTGCTGCTTATTTCCACGTTCCTCCTTTACCTGAGCCTTAAAGTTTCTTTTAAGATGGCAAGTGGCACCACAATGAAAACATCTTACTGCAAAAGTCTTTCCATGATTCTCTGGAAAAGCCTCCTCTTTGCTTTTATCAGCGTGTTTCTCCATCTTCACTCTGCTGCTAGGATTGTCAAGGCCATGCTGACTCTGAGTCTGCCTCTGTTGCACCTCCTCCAGTAGCTGGGCTGAGCCAAAATCCACTGTGAGCACATTTTCATCTATTGCCTGCATGCTGAGAATTAATCCTTCCCAATTCTGGTCAAGGGAACATAACAAAATGTAGGCTTTTATAACTTCAGTAAACTGAATTTCTCATTCCTTGAGCTCCATAGACAGTGTCTGCATTCCTCGGAGATGGGTGGCAACACATGCACTGGGAGATAATTTCATGTTGAATAATTGTCTTGTCAGAATTATCTTTGACCCAGCAGTGGCAGTAATATACAAGGTCCTGAACTTTTGCCATATCTCAGCTGCCAAAGTGAGCCATCTCACACAGATCAGCTGCTCATTTTCGACGTTTAGCAAAATAAATGCACGTGCTCTGGCATTAAGTTTACTCTGTCCATCTGTTAATGGCTGAGTTGGGGGGGCAATTTACAATATCCCACAAACCTTGGGATATGAGCCAGCATTCCACGCACGTGCTCCAGGACAAATAATTTGTGCTGTTTAATTTTTGTATAGGAGTTTCAGTTTGTTGCTGCATCCTGAAAAGCCTTCAGACAATTGTTTTAGCAACAAAAATTCCTTTCTTATCTGCAGGCAGTTTTCTTCTTCCAAGAAAAAAAATGTAAATGCCTGCTTTCACAGTCTATGACCGAGCAATCTGGGCCCATAACCTGTCAGGCTGTGTGTGAAATAAATCACTTTTAAGTAGTTAGCAGAGTCCCAAAAAGAAAATTTATGCTTTCTCTTCTCTGGACAGCAATGAAAGATAAGACAAGCGAAAGTTCTTGCTCTGAGAGATGCGAACAATATAACTCACAAACCATTGTCTTTCTCCAGTGAAGGCTTTTATCTTGTAGTTTCAGGAAAATATTTACAGCAACTTTATATCCAGCATTCCAGACAGCAAAGGGACAGCATAATGTTCCAGAACTTCAAGCTCCACCCATCGGAGCATGGCACTTATTTACTTTTATCCATAAAGCTGATGCAATCTTGCTACCATCATTGTATCAGATGCACAGTGACTCAGCAGAAATCCACTGCACATGTCTATTATGTCATAACTTTCCTTAAAGAGACAATGTTCTCTTGTATTTAGATTAATACTCTGACAGATTGGTGTGGAGTCACACATGAACTACTTACTTGATGCCTCTCCAGGAAGGGCATTGAGGAGAGTAACAAAATCCTGACAGTGCAATCCAGCAGTGCTTAGCAATGAAAAAAGATAGTTTTCTCTATCTTGGGCTCTTCCTCATAGGGAACTAGTGCTTCAGGGGCAAAATGATGCTGCCCTTGGACTGTCAAAGCTCAGTGAACCAGCTCACCTACCATTTTCACCTAAAGCCCAGGGCTTTTCTGCTGTATCTAGCAAGGCTGTTATAGGATGAAGTGGTTGAGCTTTTGTGTCGTATCCCTACAGATTTACCTGATTGATAGATTTCCTGCCAGATAAGAAGAGCAGTATCAAGATGTCCTAGCCAGGTTCTTCCACTCTCTGACATGGCGTGCCAACAGAATACACCTTTCAAATACACCATCAAGAGTTGGTTGGCAAATTATGAGGAAACTCTCCATGACTAAACTGATTCTCCACTGCTTCAGAACAATCTCCTGAATCTGGGTCTCATCATCCTACTAGAACCCAGGTTCTTGAAGATTATGGGAGCTAAGAAGGGCCTGCTGACCAAAAAAACCTACTATTTCCATTTTTATATAGCATCTGCCAACAGATCGTTTAAAAAGGCACCATTGATCTCTGATGGGATTGCAAAAGCTGGAGATAGCAGTGGGAACAAAATCAAAGCTAAGCAGAATCTGTCTTATTTGTGAACAGAATCTTGTTGAATTTGCAGAGGTTCACATAGAACACCTGAGGAAAAAAGAGGAGGAGAATTGGAAAAAAAATGTGACTAAAAGATGTTCGATATTAGGCAGCAAAGCCTAACACAGAGGGATATCATGGGGGAGATAGCATATACTTGTGTGCAGTAGTAGTCTTATTGCCCCCCACAGCAAACGCTACACAACTGTCAGTTTACAAGTGATTAGTGAAATATATGGTTAACAAAATCACATCAAAACCAGCTTATGAAGGACCCATTTTTTTCTGTTACTTAAAAGGCCAAGAAATGTATTGTAATTATCAAGTGCTTTTATGGTGCAGTACTGCAGTTGAGATTCTACTCACGATCTGAGTTTAATCCCGATTGGCTCAGATAGCCCGCTCAAGGTTGACTCAGCATTCCATTCTTTCTAGGTAGGTAAACTGAGGTCCCAGCTTACTGATCAGGGGGCAATGTGCAGCCTGAATTATAAAATTGTAAACCTCCAGAGAGTGCTTTAAGCACTGTGGGGTGGAATATAAGCAGCACACTTTGCTGTTATGCTCACTTTTAAGTAATCACATTCTCTGATTATTTTTTTTTAGTACTTGAAAGCAGATTTAACACTTTATTTTAGTAATAGGTAAATTTAAAAAAGCAATCTTAAATATGCTCATGAATCAAGCTAGTACACTGTATCTTTAAAAATAGAATGGTGGGAGGCAAACAGTTAAGTGTGTTTCCATGGTGAGGAAGCTAAAATCACAGAAGAAGAGAGGGAGACAGAAACACATTGCAAATGTACTGCTTTACCAGGATTTCAAAGTTCTCAAGCTACACAGGTCAGAAATAACCACTATGGTAAGATCTGTTCAGCTGTGAAATCTTCTTGATTTTTAATTATTAATTCTATACTGTATTAATAGAACCTAAACGCTATGATACTAAGGTGTAAAATATAAATGGCCTCCCTATAACTGCAAGAATCTGTGTTCAGGGGGGGTTTACCTCTGAGGTGTTCCCCCCTTTGCTGGGGCCACGCACCATTTTTGACTGCAAGCATCCCCTTGATTCTGCACCTGGTGGTAAGTATGCCCTGAGCCTTCTGTGACTCTAAGAAACTGCAGTGTAAGTTACCTATTCTCATTGCTTTTGAGTTTTTTTAAACATGTGTCTGATTTTGGTGCTATTAGCACCACAAAAACCATATACATTTTAAAAACTCAAAACAGTAACTTTGTTTAGAGAACATAATATGCATTTCTGCCATTTAAAAGTGAAACCATACAGAAATCTAAAATACACATTTTTTTTCATTCTCCCTGGCTTCTTAGACATGGGTAAGTATTTTAAATTCTTTGTGCTTCTGTACCCTACATCTAGCTCTTTTATTATTTAATTTTGATTTAAAAGTGTTACCGTATGTAAAGTTAGTTTTAAAAAATGTATTCTCGAAGGCTTCGTTAAAAGAAGCTAAAATAATTGTAAACTGCCTTAGGACTGAGTGAAGCAGAGCAATGTAAAAATGTGTGTAAAATGTATCCAAATAGCAGAGGCAGCCCTACTGTTAGGTACAGTGAAGCAACCGCCTCAGGTGGAAGGTACTGGGTGTGTGTGTGTCAGTCGAGTTGATTTCTACATGTGGAATTGGGGGAAGGACACCATTTTGTCCTTCGTCGGAGGCAGTGAAATATCTTGGGAGAGAGCGCTGGCCTAATTCTGAACCTACTGTTAAGTCTTTCCCTTCACGTTGTCTCCTCCTCCTCTATGGCATCTTCCCATAGACTTTCAGGTGCTTCTTGATCACGAGGTATAAGATGGCAGCCTTCAACTCGTCAGTAAGCATCCTTCACCATATGGAGCGCCGAGTGCCAGGAGTCCAGGAGTCCAAGCAAGGTGCTGCTTTTTGCATTTATTTTCTTTTTTTTGGTGTGGTGGGTATTTTTTCTTTGGCCGGTTATGGATTAATGGGTTTTCAATGCATTCCTATGGGAAATGGACCCTCAACCTACGGACTTTTTGACCTGCGGCCACCGTTCCAATACGGATTAATTCTGTAAGTCGAGGGTCCACTGTATCAAATTCAGATTCAGATGAATTTTAATTTATTTATTTATTTATTTATTTATTTATTTATTTATTTATTTATTTATTTATTTTCAACACCCCCCTTCTCCTTTAAAAGGACCCAAGGAGGCTTACAACAATTAAAACACGGTGTTTACATTAGTAGCTGTAACCCTTTGAATGGAAAGTTGCTGCTTTGTTCTGGTGACTTGAAATAGGATGGCACCCTCCCTGGGTCTCATAATAATACTTTTTCTGTTGTGATGCTGCATTTGGCTGACTATGAAGGTGGCATTAGATATGTAATCCGCTTAATCTTCTAGATTGTTCGTGATACGTAATGAACCATTAGGAATGTAACTGAGGTGTGGGTTGGGGTGTATGTGGACTCCAAATCACTGAACCCCCAATTGTGCTGACCTGGAGAAAAGCCAGCCTGAAGGCTTTCATGGCCAAGAATAAGCCCACCTCCAGCCCTGCTCCCTCTGAGAAAAGGAAGTTGCCCTGGTGCTGGCATGTCCTATGCCAGGCCATGAAGCCTTCCAGCTGAGCACAGTTTAGGTGCGAGTCTGGCAGGTGGAACTCCTAGAATGGAGGATACTAAGATTTGGAGTTGCAAAAAGCTGAAATCAAACCAAGCATGCATGTAAACAAACAAAACAAAAATGGTACATGTCTAATAACTAACTCATGTGGATTTAAGGCTATATTTCTAGCTATCTGCAGCCTGGGCAGTAGTCTCCAAAATAAAATACTGCTTGAAGTATCCATTTGCTTGCTAATCCTCCCCTATTTCGATGCACACTTTGTGGTGGTGTGCATGCACATATATACCAATTCAGTTTCAAAGTGCTTGTGACCTTTTCCCTTGCCTCTGAAATCACAATGTTTTGTTCATAGTACTGTTTACCCACCTAACCAGGCGTGGAAGATTGGCTTGTTGTGTGGGCTGCGAGATTCAGACTTCTAGAAGCTACTGGAAAGAATCCCTTAAGAGGAAATCAACATAGTTTGTGATCAGTCATAAAAAGAATACTGCATAGTGTTGGGTGAGTAAAAAAAGAGAGAACAATAACGTAATTGTTTCAAATAAGAAAAGGGATAATACAGGAGAGTGGTGTTTTATTTCAGCCATCATAATTATTCCTCAAAGGAATGGATATATCTCTGTCCAGCGTGCTGGTTGTGGATAGTGGAGGACTCTCGTCACAAGCAACTACCTTATTATGAAGTGGTATGGACCATGAGAACATTGACCGTGTGCATTCTGAGAAGGATGTACATTTCCCAGTCAGATGCAATCCTTGTGATACTGACTTATAGTTAAGAAACCGAAGAGTGGAGTCTTAGGCCAGAATTCTGTTCAGTGTCAAAAACGTGTATGCAATAGTAATCATACAAATTGTTTTCCCCTTTTGTGGGTGCCCATCAAGAGACTGGTCACAATGGCACAATGGGAACCATTTGTGCAATTTCCTTTGCACACACATTATTTCCAACCAGATTTAAACCTTTGTGATTAAAGCTAAGGACACATGACCTATAGCCCACAATGTTTTGCCCAGCTTAGAAGGACCTCTCCTCTTTAGGGCCTTTTCCCCCTCCTGTGATTTTAAGACCTGCAGGAGGTTTCAGCAGGTTCAAAATGCTGCAGCCAGACTGAGTGACACTGGTTACAAGGGAGCAGGCCATCCCCTTATTGCAACAGCTTCAATGGCTGATACTCTTATTTCAGTTTAATTCCCTTTTCTAATATATGTGTCCCCTTACAATTCTGGAAGTTAGGTATATAGATGCTTTCAACGTTGAAGGCCATCTTAATATTTTTTTCCCTTTTCATCTTTCTAAGTAGCTCCTTCTCTTATTTGTCTTTTCCCAATTCTTGTTTCTATCTTTCTAAAACTTCTGCAGTCCCTTGTGCCATCTGAAACTATTTTATACATTTGATCTAACTCCAATAGAACTTCCAGTCTCTTTTTACTTAGAGCTGCTGGTTCTTTCCCCTTATCTTCCCTTAGCACACCTAAAACTCTCCTCAGCTCCAGGGCTAGAATTAGATCTCCTAGGTTTTCTCCTCTAATTTCCTCCAGCCCCTCCTTTGATTGGCATACATAATCCACCACCCTCTCATTTCCCAGATCAAATGTTGGTAACTGCTGTCATGATGGTGGCTTATGTAATCAGAGAAATGTAAGATGGACTAAGACAGGTTTTGTGTGAAGATGATTTGAGAGACATTGGAATGTGTTTTTCTAAGTGCTTTGAGAATGTTTTTCTGATGATTGGTGCATCCTGGTTCGAGATAAAACTGAAGGTCGAATCAAGGGGCCCGTGGAAGACTCAACATTCTGAGCTAATTGGAAATGAGATAAAACACCTAGACTTCCATGGGAATAAAGGGGGAGGACAGTGTTACAGCCCATTGAAGCTAATTGGTTAACAGCCAGAATTGTCAAGAAGAAGGGAGGAGACAGAGAGTGTAGAAAATGGACGATGGGTTATGTGAAATATGATGGAGATCCACTCTTGTTCTGGGATTCGATTCCATGATCATGGTATGAGTATGTGACTTGAGGTTATAAGTAAAGAGAAAGAAGGAGGTGGGGCTAGCCCACCTTAGCCCAGCTTAATAGTGTTTATTATTTTAATGGGGAATAGTTATTTTATTTAACTGAATCTTTGAAAATGTTCCTTATGCTAAAGCTTATGCAATATAAACTGATTCTATGAAACTCTATTTTTAAAATGATTCTTACAAAAGGACTGGTCTCTTGAACAACAGGGTCTGACTAAATCCAGGGACTGGAGAGGGCCACAAACTAGCTATCTTTAAGAGTCCTACCTAAATGAGCTGCTGTGAGTTCTAAGGAAGCACAAAGCCCATGGGTCTGTACTTGCAAAGTACTGAGTAAAAGTAAAGTGTTCTTTTAAGGTCAGACTTGTTCAAAGGGCTTATGCTACGCACTGCTGAGGTCTTGGGACTTGCTCCAGCACAAAGGTGGTAGGTAAGTGGCCTGTCAAACTCTCTGACCGAGTGCTAGGTGCCCCTTAGAGGGACCTGGGCATCACACCTCCTCTGATCAACAGGCTTCTCCCCCATTTTACCATCTCTTTGGGGTGGTTTTAACCCCATGGGGGGGTCCCAAACAGGTTGGAATTCAGCCCAGGGGACAGAGCTCCATCCTCCTGTTGCTGTCTCGTTGCAGCATCAAGCTGGAAGTCCAACCTGCTGTTTCCTGTGGCATGTTCCTCATGGGCCAGTCCGAAATATTTAATCCCTCAGGAACCCGAGCACAGCAACACTTGGTCCTGCTTGCCTAGAGAAGAAGTCCCCTTAGTTCCATTAGAGGTACATTCTCACCATGTCTGCCTCTGAATTCTGAAGCTGTGTCTTCTCTTTTCACCCACAGGTTTTGGCCGCAAGGATGTTAAGAGCCATGGACATGTCCCAGTCACAATTCCTGTACTGCCCTTGTTGGGATCCTTGGAAGATAGGATGCAAAAGGCTTATGAAAAGCAAAGCAGGCCAGCTAAGCCAGAAGCCTAAGTGAGTAGAAAATATTGACACATTCTGGGAGAGTAGAATGTCACACCCTTTAATTGTGCCTTACATTGACAGAATTAAAGCCAAACAGTGCTGCTGAGTTTTTAAAAAAGAGAAAGATTATCCAAATAAACTATGGGTTTCCACCTCTTCTAAAAAATTCTTAATGGTGGCTGTGTAACACTCTCACATTCCATTCGGGCTATGTATATATTTTAAATGAGTGTTGCAAATACAACATTCATAAAATCTATGTGTATATATAAAACCCCACAGTGATATAAACACAGCCCAATTTGTACATCAGAGTTCTTGGAGGAGATCCACAATATAAAGGAAACAGCTCCAAGCATAAAGGCTTCAAAACTCTAAAATGAAATACAAATTGAAATGTAAATACATAAGATCACTGCGTGGATTCACCCTTCCAGTGCCCCTCCCACACAAACAAATTGAAATTCTGCTACCTAAACCAAGGTGGGGAAGGGTCTTCTCCTCCTGAGTCCAGGGGAAGAAGCAGGCCAGCCTCTCCTATTGACTCTTGACGGAATGCTTGAATCACAGCCCCTTCCTAAGATTTCACCCACCCACCAAATACTGTAATCCAGAGGGGCTACAGCTGCACCCCACCCCCACCCCTCCTACCTTCCCAGAAAGCTCCTTAAGGATTCAGTCTGTGCAGTCCTTGTCCAGAGGAATGAAATGTTGAGGACCAGATGGGAATGAAAAGGGGGAAACGAAAGGGGAAGAGGGAAGCAGCCCCTTTGAACTTGTATGTTTCTTTGTGTGATTTAATTATTCATAAAAATATTGCTTGCTCTTGGTATTGACGTATGCATGAAATATAAGTGAAGAGTAGGTTGTGCTACACTTTAGTTCCAGAGTGAATGAAGATTACAGAGATATAGCCTGGGGATAAGCCATGGTTATGTTCCCCACAACTAGAAAGTATGGTTTCTATAAGAAGGCTTTTATAATCTTCTACGAATGGCAAAACCAATATCCCTAGGGGCACTATGAGAAAGTGGAAGAAAAAACCAGGGGATTGGTGTTACCTTTGATTCTTTCAAATTTTATTGACCCTCCCCATATTTCATTGTTATCCCTGAAGTTGATGTTCTTACAGTTTTGGTAACTTTAGTGTCCAAAAGCACTTAGGCCTTTGCTTTCAAAGGAGCTGGAGGTCTTTCTAAACAATGATTATTATTTTTAATTAGATCACCTCGATTAGGTGTGATCCTGAGAGACCAAAGCAACTTCCCCTTGGCAGGTACACCTAGGTATGTAAGTATCAAAGTAAAGTCGAATGTTAATGTAGGATGAAGCTGGGTTTCTAAAGTACACATAGCTTCCAGTGGCTTTTAGTATATATTGAGGACTTTAATTGTTGCATAGTTTTGAATTTCTGGTAAAATTCTCCTTACTGCTGCACAGTAGCAAAAACTATAGCGATCCATGGAGGAGAACAGCTTCACGTTCTCTAGAGTCCACCCCTTTCTCATTACTTGGCGCTTAGTCTCAATAACTCACTCAGAGATATTTGAAAGGGGAAAGAAAAAAATATTATTTACTTACAGTTACTTGAAATTGCAATTTGTGTGTATATTGCTTTCTTCACTGCACACATACTAGCCTTTCCCATCCACACCTTTTTGGAAGAGAAGAAACATGTTTTTGCAACCTTACATGCTGCCTTTAGTAGGTTTGGCTGGGGTGGGGTGACGGTCAATAACCAATTGTTCCCTGCTGACCCTGAATTCAAAGACAGCCCCACCTTTCTGCTCTATGTCTTTACCCATGTCTAGAGCCTCTTGACATCCGTTGTTGAAAGCAGTCATGTTTTTCAGGGTTTTTTTTTTGTTTGATCTATTCAATTGTAAGTAATGAAGCCCTTTTTGTACTTCTTTTACTAATGTCTCTGAGTTACTGAGACTATAAGTGCCAATTTAATGAGAAAAGGGGTGGACTGCTCTGGGTAAAATGAAGCTACTCTGTTCTGTAAATCCCTGCACTTCTGCTATGCAGCTAGAGGAATTTAACCAACATTCAAAACTCAGCAACAGAGCAAGACTTTGAGGAAGGAGAAGAAACTATACTGTATTTGAACACAAATCTCAATAGGTGACTCAGGGGAGAGCCACATTCTCTTCTGTGAGGCTTGACCTGCCTCACAGGATTGTTTTCGGGCTAAAATGAGAAGAAGAAAGCCATCACTTCCTTGTTAACTCTGAATATCCATAAACAGTTTTGTTACCACCCCCACCTCAAAGATTCCTCTTTTAATTTCCTGCCACCATCATCCCGTTTTGTTCAATCACAGTTCTTATCCCTAACTCTCTTTTTTACCTGCAGCTTTCAAAGTGATGTTCCTCCTGCTTTTTATTGGTTTTAATTTTACTCTAACTTTTCCTTCTTGTGAGCATCTGGGTTTTTAATTACAGTATATATATTTTTAAATTGCTCCCGCTTCTTTCATCCAAGTTTCTCTGTGCCCTTTTCTTATCCACCGCCTAAATATGTCCATCCATCATTTCTCCCTAGACATTTCCTCATGATTTGCTGATGATTTGCTTTTCTTTTAACAAGAACATTTCAGTGAGGATTGAGAGGAGGTGGCACTTTCAGCCGGGGGTAGACCATCCTCCTGAAAGGCCACTTCATCATCGCTGGCGCTGCTCCACCCACGCTTCTTATAATCTGACTGGAAGTGAAAGGGTTAAGATGTGGGCAGCTACAGGAGAAGGGGTGTGGCCATAGGCCTCCTAAAAGGTAATTAGGCAAGTGTGACTGCAACCACACCTGGCAGAAAGGTCAAATGCTAGCAAGGATTCTTTATACTCTTGACTTATGTTGGGGTTTAGGGGGTTATTAGGGAGAGGGAACCAGGAAAGAAGAGGAGAAGGACCAGGATTGCAATGACCAGACAGCAAGATTAGCATAATGGTTTGTCAGGGGATTATAGGAGGCAAGAAGGGAAAGGAATTTAACAACAGAAGCCATGTCTGAAACTGCCCATCATTGGTGTTCTGAATAACAATTAATTTTTTCTTCCAGAGTAAGATTTCCCCACAAGACTTATGTACAACAGTTAAGAAGCAGGGAGCCCCGAGATGTGAGTAGTATACGTAACTGAAGTTTTAAGAAGGTGGATTTATTTGGAGTATGAAAAGCTTTCTCAGTCTTTATTCCCATCATCCTTACAACAGCCTTGCGGGGTAGAGCAGTTAGTTCTTCTTTCCGACCAGTAAGGTGGTGGAGATCAAACTCTTTGTTGAAGGAGCAGGTGTGTGAGTGCAGGTCTTCCACGCCAAAGACCAAAAACTCTGATCCTTTGATAATGTAAATGCCGAATGATGAAATGTTTTGGTGTAGATCATAATAGGATGGCTTTTGAGACTTCATTCTGTCCTGACTGATGAAAATATTTGAAGCGGGCAGGTGAGCAGAGGCTGCACGGCCTTTACCATCCCATTTTTGACTCCCTCAGACAGCTACGGGCTGTGCCTGTGGGCTGAAGAAAAAAAAACTTGGGTCTGAAACGCACAGGGAAGGAAAATAGTATCAAAACAGATAGCAACATTCTTGGACGCATCTAAGGACATGGCCATCCGTTCTTAGCCTCTTTCCATTTTTATGTCCGTGGGAATGCAGGGAGGCAACAGATGCTACATGAGGGGGAATGCAGAACTGACTCCTCTGTTTTAGGTCCTAAGTTCACGTGTGCAAAATTCCCGTCACTAAAACAACATTTCAGGTACTCCCTAACTAAAAGGGAATACGAATGGTTTTACTAATTCTCTCCACAATACGTACCTGCTAAAATTTCACTCAGGAAAGTTTGGGAGCTCCACCTTCTGTCATTAAGGAGGAGGACTACACCAGCAAAAGCATTTAGTCAACAGGGGCAGCCCAACAATTATAATAGCCTAGCTTTGAGATGGTGGCAGTATCCTGAGCCTGAGTCCTGTGTAAGTTCAACACTTATACTTGGTGACATTGCTCCGATAAAAGGCATCCTCTTGCTTCTGTCTTATAACTCATTCTAGGCTATTAGACCACTAAAAAACAACACCCGTTTAAGTGCTCCTGGGTTCTGTGAGAATGGATCACACGTCTGGGATTCCATTTTGAAGTTCACACAGGATTCTAGAATTCGGCCCCTTCCCCTTTTATTCCAGATATCAAAAGAGTTTGAAGAGGAGGTCATTCCTGGCTTCACCTTGACCCGTAGTAAAGAACATATTGATGTCACTCTGGGGCAAGAATTCTTTGAGAGGAAAAAACCTGCCGAGGAACCCGCCAGGCCCGTTGTGCCGAGGTAATGTTCTACAGTGTCAAGAGATGATGATGTGTTCATAAGGATCTTTGTTCCTGATTGTTCCTGACATCTTGCTTCACATTTGATGTGGCATGTTAAGACTAAACTGGAGCAAATAGACATGAGAACAGGGGCACTTAACATTTATGTAAAACACTTTCACCTCAGACCTTTGTGCAGATATTAGAGAGAAGAGATGTGGCTTTTTGACCCGATAATCAAGAACTCTATGCCTGCGTATGTTGGGCAGCGGTTTAAGTTAGCATGTGACATGAATGTTGTCTCCATTATGGTGACATACTGTTTGACTGTTTGATGCCTCTTCCTGGGCTGTTTAAAATGCCTGGTTTGGGTCTCTGAAGAAGCCCTGTGGGAGCACTCCAGAAGGAAGACCAGGCAGATGATGGCCACAGTAGTGACCCCCTAGGGTGAGAGTGTGGGGCAGAAGGTCAGGACAGCACATGGGAAAACGAGCAGGAAGATGCTCAAACCTAGCAGGGCTCCCTTCCCACAGTTTAAATCCCATGACGTCAAGCACATTGCCCTCTAAATTCTAAAAAAACTATTTGGGATTTTAATGTACAGCTTAAAACAGGGTAATATATGGGCCCTCCAGATATTTTTTTATTTCCTATTTCGTAATGTAACTAAAGGTTTTGGGGTGCGGCTGTCTAGCAATAGAAATGAATAATAATTTCAATATGAATGTGTTTAGCTGACTGTTAATGGTGCCTTGAACAGCCTCTATTTCTCTTCTCCCCACCCCCAACTCCTCTGCAGCACTCCACCTAAGCTTGAAACGTAAGTAATGCATTTTTACTCTCCTCCTTTTTTTGTGTGTGCCAGCAAGGAGCCGTGTTAGTCTGTTGGACCAGAAACAATAAAGTGTCCTGTGACATTTTTATAACTGGCAAGTTTTAAGGTGGCCTTAGCTTTCATGGACTGCAGTTTGTTTTCTGGGGCATCTGAAAAAAAAACGGCGGCAGTCCCCAAAAACTTGTGCCAGGTGAAATATATTAATCTTCAAGGATGGCACAGGGGGACTCTTTCTTCTTCTTCTTTCTTGAATTCAATTGACAGAGTTGCCAAATGTGTGCCTTTGTTGCTTACTGCGTCCACCACTTCCTGGGCGGCTGTAATTTGATCCCTTCTTAAAGGACATTTTGACAGGAGTCTGCTGTGAGATATATTGTGACCTATTAACTCACGGACCATTGCTGACCAGACAAATGAAAATTATTGTCCTGAGCAGAAGTCTGAAGCACTGTTAAGTCAAGCACTGATTCAGTTGCTGATTAATTTATCTCTTGGGCTCGCTCTCTCGTTCTCCCTTTCTCTTTTCCACATTTCCATTCTCTCATTCTCATTCTCCCTTGTCCTCTAGAGTAGTGACTCTCAGCTGTAGATTCGCTTCCAAGGAAGGCAGGATGCTCACCTGTTCTCCTTGAGAAGCAGCTGTAAGGCACAGTTGGAAGACACTTGTCACGTTCCCGGGGGTTACAACAGCCGAAGTCCGATAAACCAGCCCAGGGTCAAGAATACAAAGAATGCAATGCCAATGTCCATAAATTAACTCACAGAAGGAAGTCCAGTGTCAAAGTCCAGAGTCAGAGTCCGAAGTCCAATACTGGCGTAGTTCAAGGGCAGAGTCCAGAGTTCAGGGTCAGGAACAAGATGCAAGAAGCGTGGATGCAAGCTGAGGTTTTGACTCCTTGCTTCCACGAAGTTTCTGGCTTCACTGGAAGCTTGTTTTATAATGAAACAGCTCCTTGAGCTGCTGGAAAGCTTTCTGTTCTGCTAGTACTCAGGACTAGATGAACGTAGGTCTCTGTGGAAAGCCTTTGAGCGATCCTCTGATCTTCTTGTCCTAAGTCTCTCCCAAAGCCTGGCCCGAAGCCTGTCTGCTGTGGAAGGAGAATCTGAAGGCAGTTCAGGTGTTTCTGGTCTCTCCACATTCTCTTCAGCCACAGTTAACCCTTCTGGGTCCAGGTCTTCGGGAGCACTCATGACAACACTATAATTAATTACCAGCAGAACAATAAACCTTAATTGTGACTGCACCAAGGGCAAGCAGAGTTTTTACAAATGTTTGCTGTCTTCTTCAGAATGGTTAGTAGATTTCTAACAATTAGAGACATGCAAAGCCAAAAAAGTGTGTATTTCTTCTATTTCTTGTGTTTTGAGTTCTTTTCATATCAGATTTTATGCCTCGTGTCCCGCCTTATCTGATATTAAGCCTCTTATTATGTTTTATAGTCTCTTGGTTTTATTCATAACTAATAATTGCAGGGCTATATTTTATTATGCCTATGTTTTATAATCTCTTGGTTTTATTCATAATTAATAATTGCAGGGCTATATTTTATTATGCTGTAAACTGTCCAGAATAGCATGCTGCACTAATATAAATTAATGAAATTAATAAATAAATAGAATTTTGCTGAAGATGCCTCTTGCACTTTTGTATTTTTCATGTACTATTCTTTTTTATTTTACATGAAATGGAAAGCCTCTTTTGTGTTTCCCATTCAAGTCCCCCCGTTCATGTTTCCTAGTACTCTCAAAGCCAGGGGTGGGCAATTAATTTCTATAGGGGCCACATGAAAAAGCTGAACGGTGTTGGGGGCCGAACCAACTTTACTTAAAAATAAAAGATAAGCAACTGATCAACTTTAGACAAAAAGCGATAAATGATTTTGATGTTCAACTTGTTCAGTGAGAGAAATCCAGTCTGTCTTGGGCTTTAACAAGTGCTTGAACACCAGACTGGAGCGATGACCGGCAGGCCGGACAGGAGCGGCTCACGGGCCACATGTAAAATTACTCCAAAAAGTAGAGGCAAGGCAACAGAGAATCATAAACGGATATGGAAATAGGCCAAGACCTATTTTATGATACAAAGTTATTTCTAAAGTGTAACCCTTTCCCTGGCTGCCCAAGGGAGACAGAAGCAAGTTCCGCCCTCCTTTGGTCGATCTCCAGCCGCCAACCAACCAGGACATCCTACAAAGACTCTTTATGGTAAACTGCTATTGCCATTTCCCTTTTGAACCTGATTTGTATTTTGCTGCATTTTATGGCACATGTTCTGCAGGGAGGATGTTGTCGCTGACCTAGTGGACCAGATTTCTGAGCTCACAGCCATGATGGAGCAACTGCGCCGGGATAATGAGGCAACCCACAGACAGGTAAGTCCTCCTCATGAGGGCACCCTCTGCGCGTACGTAGGCTGGGCATTCTGCCATATTTTGAGAGGGTGGGGAAGAATCGTCATAACTTCTTCCATGTAGCGGTTGGTGTATGGCTCATGGAGGTGGCTTTGAAAGGTGGTATGGCTGTGAGATGACCATAGCAAAATCAAGATGAGGTGTGTGTGTGTGTGTGTGTGTGTGTGTGTGTATGTGAGAGAGAGAGAGAGAGAAGAGAAGAGACTGCTGGTCTCAGCAAGAGGTTGCCTATAATGAAGCTCTGTGGAAGTTTCCTGTGGACTCCCCTCATGAACATTTTACATGTCTGTGAAAAAAGATATAATTTCTTCCCCATCGTAGCTGGAGAAGGATATGGAAATGAAATGCAGTGAGATGCAAGAGGAACACGAGAATAAAATGAGGTATGTCTGTTCTTGTATGTGAAATATATGCTTATTCTAATGCTTAGAGCCATGTTTCCTAAAATGTGAGGCCACCCAAAATATCTAGAATACTAATAGTTTCTCACCTCCGATACTGGCTTTACTAGAGGTTTTCAAGCAGACTTTAGATGGCCACCTGTGAAGAGTGCTTTAGCTGTGGGTTTTCTACTTTAACAGAGGGCTGAAACTCAGTGCCTTTGGAGTTTCTTCCAGCTCTGCAGCTCTCTGACCCTGTGATTGGCTGTGAAAAAAAAGATTAGGTGGGTAAGTTAAGAATTGTACTTCCACCCATCAGATACAGGGACATCAAACGTCCCTTTCCTCCATCTAAGAAGAAGCGGATGGGCTGTAGTTTCATTCTAATTGTACATTTTGTATAGAATGTGTTCAGCCTGAGTGACACATCACAGCACCCCATTAGATACTGTCTGCTGTTAATGAAAAGCAATGTATTGCCCTTGGGCAAAAATACATTTTAAAATTATACATAAGTATGGAGAAAGGTAGGTACCAAGCTGGTATACTTAAAAAAAAATCTTTTAGAAACAGAGTCATCCCTCAGTTCTGCATCACTGTGATATTTTTTTACTTTAGGTCCCTCCCCTGCCGCCATCACTGCAGAAACCATACTGAATGTTTACTGCTTGATTAATTTTTTAGGATGTTGCAGTCTCCACTCTCCAACTGGATAAAGCTAGCAAAATTGCTTTCCTTGCATTGACCAGAAGCTTGGCCTTAGCGGAAGGCACTTCTGCTTTCTTACACAAAGCAAGGTCCCTGATTCTCTTGGATTCCTCTCTTCCCGCCTCCCTCTGGACTCCCGGTCCTCCAAAAACAGGTGCTTCAGACAGGTTAGAACACAGAGAGAGAGAGACATTGCAGAGGCTTGTGGTCGTTAGAGAGGATTGCCAGAAAATTCAGGTAGCCTGACTTGCATTGAGGGAATGTGCTTTTCACTAAGCCAGTAGTTTCCAAACCTCCAGTCCTGGTCAGTGCAGCCAGTGGTGAAGGCTTCTGGGAGTTTTAGTCCAAGAACAGCGAGGGGCCCAAGGTTGGGAACCACTGCACTCTGCCAAAGCCGTCCCTAAATAGGCCAAATAATGTACCTCATTGTGATTAGTTAAGCACATATAATAGTACCTACCACAGACCTGGGCAAAGTGTGGCCCAAGGGCCACATATGGCCCACGAGCTGCTCCTCTCCGGCCCGCAGGCAGTTTTGAACATCAAAACCATTTATAGCTTTTTGTCTAAAGTTGATCAGTTGCTTATCTTTAACATGCCGCAAAAAACCTCTTTAGTATTTGCGAAGATTAACAAATGTGAAGATTAACAAGTTTGAAATAAAAACAATCATAACATCACTGTTTCATTTTATTTTTAAGTAAATTTGGTTCGGCCCCTGAACACAGTTCAGATTTTTCATGTGGCCCCCCCTATAGAAATTAATTGCCTACCCCTGACCTACCAGAAGGCTGACGCCTTATAGAAAACACTTTCCATCCTGTTTTGGCAGGGAGATTCAAGCGTTCCATGCATCGGAATTGTCTGCCGTGGAAGAGCAGTACAAAAAAGAGTTGCGGAATGAGAGGGCAACGGCCCAAGAGAAGCTGGGTGTGTATGATTCAGGGCCTGACCACCCTTGGCCTACCGTAGTACCCCTACAGGGCATCTTTGTACCGCATATGCACACACTGCGCCATGTACACATGCATACGACAGTTTCTGAAGAGCATGAATGCTCAACGTGGATGTGAGTGGGGGAATGGCCTAGAAATCCAACGTGATCATATATTTACTTTTGTTTGTGCAAAGTATTCATTTGCTGGAGTCCTAATGCCAGGAGACAGGTGGTGGGCTGTCATTCTTTCTGGCCAGGTGGCTCTTTCTGCCCAACACCCTAAAGTAAGAACTCTGGAGAAAGCCGAGGAAGGAAAGGAGCTGTTTTGGTTTCTCCTCTTTCAGGTCAACATCAGGAATAGCCAAATAGGCAAGATAGCTGGGCAAGAGAGAGCAGTGATGAAGCAATGGGCATGATTTTTAAAATATCTGTTTATAAATCTGTTTAGAGATCCCTATGTGCCCCTGTGGCATGCATGCATCTCAGCATATTAGCATGGCAAATGGCAGGCTGATGACTGGGGCCACATTTTGGAAAGTAACATATGCTCAGAAGACAAAGTCAGGTGCAGATTTCAGGACAGGGGGACACTTCAACCAACTTCTAAGATGGTTGGTTGTAAGGACTGGGAAAGGGATGTTGTTACACAGAAGAAGGCAATCAACTGTTTATGAATTAGCTGTTTCGTATTTCTGTGTGGCAGCGCATTTGGAAATTGCCACAAACTAGAAGGGAGCTCGTAATTATCGGTGCATGCACAGAGAAACCAAGTGTTGTATGTGGTCTTAGTAGAAAAATTAATACACCAGTTCAAATTACTTAAACAACCACACTCCCAATATGATTTTTTTTCAACACATGGTTTCCTTTTATTTACTGTCTTCTGTTAGTAAGAATGACAAGAGTTCTTTTCCACGCACTTTCCATGTCAATCTTACGTGCAGTCTTCTAATTTTATACAAACTACAGTGATGTGAAGGTGCTATACCAGATTTTGCATTTGTTGTGCAAGGTCTGTACTATTTTCTTCCCTTACATGTTCTTTCAATAAAGAATTTTTTTAAAAATGTAAAAAACAAAAACAAAATAATTTTGTTGAAAGAGCAGCCTGTTGGCTACACTTCAGAAATAATGATGGAAAAGAAAAACTGAACTTCTTTTTCAGTGTTAACAGTTAAATTCCATGGAATATGTTATTCCCCTTCCCCCCCTCTAGCTGGGATGCAAAAAGAATACAAGTATTTGAAGAATGCATTTCGTGTGTACCAGGTAAGATTAAACTACCATCCAGATCAGTAAGATACGTGGAGGCCTACATAGTTACAGAGTTTAGACATGTAAAAAAAAATAGTATGTTAATTATTGTGCGTTATTATTTCATAGAAACTAATTATTGCTTTTCCACTACCTTTAAAAATATTTCTTTTAAAATCTTAAAAATACAAAAAAGGACCACAGTGTCCTAAATCAAATGAAATCAAAACCCATTGTTTTGAAGTCACAATTAAAGATCACTTGTTATGCTAAAGAAATATTAGTTTTGCTCTGTAGCAAAAATGGCATTGTTTGCTGGGTGTAACCTCTTACTGTCATGACTGATGATGTGTCCCTTCCAAGTTCTGCTCAGTTGGAGGTCCTTTGTTATTCTGTGGGTCTGCAGGGGTAGTGGTCTTACTGATGCATCCTAGCATGTGGGATTGGTGTTCAGTCTGCTTGGCAGGAGACGAGGACCATTGAAAGCAGCTTGACGGGGGGGCAGTGGGGTAGGTACAATGTGGGAGTGTTAAACGCTGCAGCCAGCTCCCAGGTAGATCAATTGCTGGCCCTTTTTAAAACGCATGCACCTCCTTGCCCTCTTCATGATAGGCTGCGTATTGAGAGAGAGAGTGGAATATATTCAAAATAAGCTAGTTTCAAAATTTTGTAAATGTGTGAGCTCACACAATGTGATAAATCTGTTTATTCTGCAAGATGTCACGAGATTTGTTGTTGTATGTATGTATGTATGTATGTATGTATGTATGTATGGATGGATGGATGGATGGATGGATGGATGGATGGATGGATGGATGGATGGATGGATGGATGGATGGATTTGATTTGATTTTGATTTGATTTGATTTGATTTGATTTGATTTGATTTGATTTATATCCCCCTCCCCGGTATATTCTACCACTCTGGGCGGCTACCAACAAACATATAAAAAAACACAGAAGCACTGACATAATCAATAACAAGAACAGTGCAAAAAATATAATAAATGATAAATAGCAAGAAGAAAAAGAGTTAAGTGCTGACAGGAGGGAAGGCCTGGGTGTATAGCCATGTTTTTAGTTGAGTTTTAAATGTAGGGGCCACGCGAATCTCTGGAGGAAGGTTATTCCAGAGGTGAAGGCCCGTTTTCGTGTCTTTTCCCTCCGGGCCTCCCTCGGCGTCAGGCTCCTCAACCTCGCCTCCTGGCTTGCGCGGGTGATCCGGGTAGATCTTGGTGGGAGCAGGCGTTCCGCCCGGTATCGAGGTCCCAAACCATTTAGGGCCTTATAGGTAAGCATTAAACTTTGAAGTCAATGCGGAAACGAATGGGCAGCCAGTGCAGCATGGCCTGAATAGGAGAAATGTGCTGGTGTTTTCTCAATCCAGTAAGGAGTCTGGCCGCTGTATTCTGCACTATCTGAAGTTTCCGCATCAGCCTCAAAGGCAGCCCCA